ATGTAAAATAAAGATATTGTGCCCACCTAAAATTAAAAAATAAATATAAAAAAAATCTAAATCCCACACAAGTTTCACTTTCCTACAAAGGACAAGATTTTTCTTATATCAAGATTCATGTCTGAAATACATACCTTTATGAGAATAAGGATCACACAAAACTACATTGTATGTACCTCCTGTGGATCCTCCACTGACTTCTCTTCATCCACCAGGATACTTAGAAATGCTGTATTATACTTACCTTTTTATTTCCTTGTCTTCCCTATTGGACTGTAGACTTCTTGACAAAGGTGGGAAATGTATTTTTTCCTCCCACTATACCCAACATAGTAGCCATGGAAATATGTGTTGACCAGGACAAGACATTTCAGGATTTCTTCTACTAGAATCTCATACTGTTCTAGGAAGTTCTGACTTGTTTGGGATTTCTCAATGCTCCTCCTGGGTGTCTGGGAATATTACCTGAAGTCCAGAACAGTTCCAAAGGAGAATGACAAGTAGAACCAGCTCTTCCTCTCCATTGAAACTCCTAGATGGCCTTGGACCTTTCTGGGTTCTTAGGTTGTGGACAAATGCCTCAGCACCCACAGTTCATTCTGTTCTGAGATTGCTTGGATTTTAGACTCTAGCACAGAAAAGCAAAGGATACATGAATTACATAGGTGTCTTTTTAATTTTTTTAGTTATRCATGGATACAATATCTTTATTGTTATGTGGTGCTGAGTATCGAACCCAGTGCCTCACAGGTGCGAGGCAAGTGCTCTGCCACTGAGCCACAACCCCAGCCCCTACATAGGTATCTTGATTCAGGTGTTTTTCAAACTTGAGTCATTGTAGAGAGAAGGCAAAGGAGAAGGTTCTGGATGGACTCTGATTCCCTCCCCAGCTTTAACCAGATCAGTTCTGCTTTGATCTGTTTATATATAGGGTTCCATTGCTGGGGTGGGGAAAGGAGCTCCTTCTCTTAAACATGACAGCTGATTCTTTTTCCTCCCTGTCTATCAGGCTGTAGACAATGAATGGCATCCGGGGCTCAAAGGGGATTCTCCAAATGTGCTATTTTCACATTACTGGGGAAATGGTCTGAAAGCAAACAAGATAACCGCCTAATCAGTGAAACCAAGTCACAGCCTGAAGCTTGAGAAAATGTGGAAAGTGATGAGGGGTTAGAGCAGGTCCAGAGTAAAGTGCACAAATAAGCAAGCAAGGGAATCCATGGCACATAGCTCAGAGTTAAAATGCTGAGTGCCTACTCATTAGAGAGACATTTATATCACATATGTGACTCTGATAGGAGACTAAGATAGAAGGGAGGCCTAAAGTCTGGAACAAGGGGAGTCTTTTGCCTCTGCTGTATGCAGATTTCTGTTGGACTGAAGTCTGATTAGTGGGTTAGGATGAGCCTAGGTATGGCCAGCAGCTGACTCAGGCCTACTGTCCTGAACACAAAGGACTAGACACCGAGGACCCAGGTTCTCAAAACTCATAGAATCTCAAAGGTGAATCACCAAGCCTTAGTTTTTCTTATATCAGATTAAATGATGTGAGCATTCAGTAGGGAGTTTGATATGAGTCTAAAGTTCTTGGATGAAATCTAAGATAGAGATTTTGATTTGGTAGTTGTCAAACGGATTGAGATTACCTAGAGAGGGACCGAAGGGTTGATTGACTGTACCCTTCAGCTCAGCTCTCATAACACAGTCACAAAGTGAATACCAGCCTATGCTTAACCACTCCTTATGAATGGCCTCGGCCACTATAAGATTCTGAGCAAGCTTTTACTTCTCTGAGCAGATGTCTCAAAGACTGGCTACTGCTGCCTTCCTCATGATGGCCTTCTTTGGAAATGGAAATTTCTTCTTCCTTTGGAATGTATATTGTCAAACTATAATAGACCTAAATTCACCTTGCACACCTTTTCTTTCAATTTTATCTCTGCCTTTTAATTGAATTTGCAAATGACTTACTGATTACTTCTACATGAACAACTTTCATTGGCTCATCTCAGTTTTCATTCAGCAGTGGTAGTAAATTGCCAAGTCCCTAGAAAATTTCATGGAAGACTCCCATGTACAAAATATGGTGGGAGGACATCACCCAGGAATGAGGCTAATATCCCAGGAAGGTAGGCAGATGCTCACTAGTTCTTCCAGAAAATTCTTCTGTCTCTCCTGCATCCCCTGTCCTGCCTGGAAAGGGAAAGCTTTTTTCTTTTTTGAAATGGACAGCTATCTTGAATTGCTTATCTTTCCCTTGACTCCCACTCTAACAATGTTTAGGAAGGAAGAGGAGGGATGAAACCTCAAGGTTCGCCTTGCCTGGTTTACCAGGAGGCATTTTGTCAAGGGGGAAAGATGCTAAAACCCCAGCAATAGATGCATATTCAAAAGAATTGAAAACAGACATTTAAACAAATTATGCACAAATATTTATAGACACACTGTGCACAATAACCAAAAGATAGAAATAACCCAAATATCCATCAAATCTAGTGAATGGATAAACAAAATGTAGGCTGGGTGGTGCATACCTGGGATCCCAGCAACTCGGGAGGTTGAGGAAGGAAGATCACAAGTTCAAGGCTAGCCTCAGCAACATAGTGAGGTGAAGCCCTAAAGCAACTAAGCAAGACCTTGTCTCAAAATAAAAACTAAAAAGGACTAGGTATGTTGCTCAGTGATAAAGTGCCCCTGGGTTAAATCCCCAATAYCTCAAAAAAAAAAAAAAGTAGTAGATCTGGGGCTGGGGATATAGCTCAGTTTGTAGAGTCTTTGCTTAGGCTTTGGTTCAATCCCCAGCATCACACACACACACACACACACACACACACACAAAGTAGTAGATCCATATAACAGAATATTATTCAGCCATGAAAAGAAATGAAGTCCTCATATGTGCTACTATATGGATAAACCTTGAAAACATATGCTAAGTAAAATGTCATATATTGTATTATTCCATTTATATGAAATATCCAAAATAGACAAATTCATATATAGAGAGAAAGCAGATTGTTACCTCCTGGGAGGTGGTAGTCGGGGGGGGAAGTGTTAACTGGCAGAATTTCCTTTTGGTTGATGAAAATGTTCTAGAACTGGTAAGTTCTAGTTGGTAACAGTTGCACAACATTATGAATGTACTAAATTCCACTAAATCATGCACTTAAAGATAATTAAAAAGGGGACTAGGAATGTTGCTCAGTGGTAAAGTGCTTGCCTAGCTATGCCCAAGGCTCTGAGTTGGAGTCTCAGCAGTGAAAAATTAAATAAAATAATTAAATTGTTAAAATGGTGAATTTTATGTTACGTGACTTTGTCTTAGTCTGTTTGGGCTGCTATGACAAAATATCATAAATCAGATAATTTAGATACAACAGAAGTTTATTCCTTACAACCCTGGAGGCTGGGAAGTCTAAGATTAAGGTGTCAGTGTCTGGTGAGGACGTGCGTCCTCCCAGTTCCTTCTTGCTATGTTTTCATGTAATCATATATGCTCTGTGGTCTCTTTTAAAAGGCTCTAAATCTATTCATGAAACCTCATCACCTACCAAAGACCCCACCTCTTAATATCATGACTTTGGGAAGTAGGATTTCAACATGAATTTGGAGGGGACAGAAACATCCAGACCATAGCAGAATTTTACCCCAAATTTCAAACAGGGTGAGAGATGCGGGTATGGCTCAGGCAGAACACTTGCCTAATATGCACAAGCCCTGGCTTCTATTCTTAGCACTGTAAAACAAAACAAAACAAACAAAAACAGAAGAAAAGAAAAAAAATGGGGGTGATATGAGAAAGAGAAAAAGGAAGGGAAAAGTAAAGAATTCAGAATACCTTCCTGAGTTTCGTTTCCTCASTGTAATGTGGTGATACTAATGTCACCACTTCCACTCCTCACCCAGAGTGGGCATGAGTAATAATACATCAGTTAGTACAGTGAGTATTACATAAAGTACATAGCCCACAGTAGCCTACAGTAGGCTTTCAACTCAATTTTAATGCCCTCATGTCTATATAAACGTCTAAACATAAATCTATTTACCTCTTTTATTTACTTTTTATTTTCTTTCTTTTCTTTTTTTTTTTTTTGCATCACTAGAAATTGAACCTAAGGGCACTCTACCACAGTGTTACATCACCACTCTTTTTATCTTTTTATTTTACTTTGAGACAGGGTCTCACTAAGTTGCCCAGTTTGGCCTTGAATTTACCATTCTCCTGCCCCAGCCTCTGGAGTAGCTGGGTGTACAGGTGTGCACCACTGTACCTGGTTATTTATTTTATTTCTTTCAACTCTGTGGTTTGTGGCTCCAGCCAGACATGGGTTTGCCCACTCCTTATTGGATTTGGCAGGCTGTTCCACCATCTGAGATGTTCTATCTCCTATATGCCGGCAGGCCACTGTGGTCCTTAGGCTACTGCCACAAACTCACCTGAGAGCAAAATCTGGGATTCACCCTCTGAATCAGACTCTGAGAGTTGTTGGAGGGAAAGGTTCTGGGATATGCATTTTTAGTAAATGCTCCAGGTGGTGATATTAAAGGTGCATATTAAAGTTTGAGACCACTTTGCTAATTTATGTCTTTACCATCTTTTCCAGGAAGTTCACCCAGATTTCTCCTCTGAGTAATTCTCTGATAACCAGAGTGCTCCTCATCTTTGTCTAAGGGTCTGATTAACTGTCATATTTGTTTTGGGTTCTTCTGGGTGTGCTGTCTCCCACTGGATCAGGGAACTCCCAGGGAGAAATGCCTGGTCCTCCCTTTTCTCTTGTCATTCTAAGCACAGATGTTCCTGGTTCCTCCTGAGTGTAGGTTCTCCTGGGATTCTGTAGGAAGTGAGACTCTTAGAATCCTGCTTCCTTACTTCTCCAGATACTTGGGAGAACCTAACTTTTCTGTCTTCCTATCATTCTATTTCTGACTTTTCTAGATGGTCTGGAAATTATATTGCTGTATCATATCAGCCTTTGCTTTTCCAATCCCATCTTACCCAGGATGCACTAGGTGTGGGCCAGCCCCCACCCCACCCTGACAACTGACCATGGATCCTGGAGCCGGGTCCGAGTCCTCTCTGACTGTCAATGAGCAGGTATCTTCTGGGATAAGAAGGGATGGGGTGGTAAGGGCAATGGACAAAAGGGTGTGGGTAGGGGAGGAAGGCTCCACAGCACCCCTCTTTGTTTCCTACCAAAGTTCATGGTTATTTCATCACAGGGAGTTGCCAACTAGGACTTCTCAGATTCTGAGTTGGGGGATTTAGCTGTGACTTTTAAAATTGGAATTAAAATGCACAAATACATATAATTTAAACAAGGAAAGGTTTGGACACCAAGTAATTTACTTTTAATTTTTTCTAATTTTAAAAAAATTTCTGCAATGACTGTTTAGTTCTTGTGTCATTTTTTAAAAGGTGAAAAAAAATGAATGTCTTAAAATGTAAGTGCAGTGAAGCCCCTCATAGATCGAGTTTGAGTCAGTAAAAGGGAATGCTTTGGGGGATTTATTTCACTTTTATTTTCCTGTTGGGAAAGTATCATTTTGTCACTTTTTACAGAAGTTTCTGGCTAGATTCAGTTTTCAGGCTTCAGAAGCATGTGTGGCAGTGGTTTGTGGCCCAGGCCAAGTGCACGGGAGGACTGACACAAAGCACTTTAATGTACAGATTTTGTCTCTGATTCTTGAAGGGCCCAAGTGGCAGTACTTCAGTGCTTGAAACAGGGCATTTGAGCAGAAGACCACCAAGTGTTCTAAGGTGACTCAGGGTCTGCCTGCATCATACACATGGAGGATCACCCTTGTACTCTGAGCATGCCCACTGCTGGGTAGCATGATAGAAACCACAGGCTGTTAAGATACCCAGCTCCACTGGAGCCATAGCTGGCCTGGGTGAGGAAGATCAGAACATCTTTAGGATTCCTCACCCTTCTTTCAGAAAGTTAACTTGCGGGGGAATCCTGATCATTTACTCCAGAGTTTTGGAAATAAAGGCATTGTGAGCTTAAAAGCTACTCAGCATAGGGAGCATTTATTTTCCATCCCTTTATCTTTGGGGAACTTCCAGACAGATTCAAGAGAATCAAAGATGGATTTGTTTCCCGGTCCAACTTAAGTCATGTATACTGTGTTAGGATCCCTCATAGCCACACTACCATGTCCTAGCAGCCAAGAGGACATCCTTGCAAGTTTGTGGGATAGGCCATTTCCTATTCCCTGAACTGAGCCCAAGAGGGGGAGCAAATAGAACTATCTCTCAAGTGGTAAAGTTCTGGGACTTTTCCCAACTGTGTCAGACYCTTCTCCCTGACACTAGGACCTGTCTTCTTCTAGCAGCTCTTTCCATGGAATAGGAGAGTAGTAGCCTGCCCCAGAATCTGGTGTTCTCACAGAGCACACTGTTTGCTGCTTGGGAGGCCTACATCTGAAGTACCCTCTCTCTCCTCCAGCCATACCAGGGGCTATGCTGACTCCTCCTCTTAGCGGTGTTCCTTGTCGTCTGCCTACAGGTCATCGTGATGTCAAGCCACGAGACCATCCGAGTGCTAGAAGTTGGAGTGGATGCCCAGATCCCTGCTGAAGATGAGGGCAAAGGACTGGAGAGTGTGGCTGCTGACAGCTCTCAGAGTGGAGGCCCTGCCGAAGCCAGTAACCCAGGACCAGACAACCCAGACCCCTCTGCAGAGGCTGGTATGAGACCATTGCTCCAATCTGGTATCACTACCTCTGAGTCCATTGTGATTCTCTGGGGAGCCAGCATGTGTCCCAGAGGCCCAGGTGGCATTAGGATTTTGTCTTCCCATCCGCTGGGCAGCCTGTGACCACAATCCACTTTTAGTCAGCATGTAGGGCTACTCTGCATTTCCTTTTTCCTGGAGCTTTAGTTCCTCTTACAGCCACTTCTAGGCCTAAATTGGGAATGATGGGAGGTGATTGGCATGTTTCAGCTTAGTTTGAATCAACCTCAGAGAGCTCCTAGGTCCAAACCAAATGGTCAGACCCAATGCAAAAAGAACTGGGCCTTCAGTATCCTTCTGGCCTTTCTAACCCTGTCCTTTTTGTGGTAGAACTGAGATGTCCCAGGAACTGAGAATGGGAGGGCATCCTACTTTCCTCAAAGAAGGAGACTAGGTAGAACTCCTGAAAAATCCCTGCTCCTTCCTCTGCAGTTTTATAGGTGCTGCCCCTCTGCAAAGCCAACCTTACAGAGTAAGCTGCATTCACCTGCAAGACAGCTGTGAGAGAAACAGGGCTGCCCTGGGTGGCCCTGGTGCTGCTTTCCAGCCTTGAGGGACCTTTTATTGACTTTCCTCCTCAACACCTTGCAGAGTGGTCTTCTTTTGCAGGAAGCCTTAGGCCTCCTTTACCAGTTCCCTCTGAACACCTTGATTCATTTCCTCTGGCCTTCTACTGTTCTTCACCCCTTCCCTAGACTGGAGATTCGGACAGGGGGAGGGGATAAGGGGAGGAGCCAAAAAAGAGCAAATTAGAACTAACAAACTTCAGAGAAATAACAGCTTCTTAACAAGAAAATGGCATAACTTCACCATCCTYGATCTACTTGCAAATCAGTATGCAGGTTCTTGGAACCCTAGTGACCTCAGTATCTTAATTCTCCTTTTGAATATAGGAATGACAAGGGATTCCACCTACTTTTTTTTAAGGTGCAATTCCCTGGAGAATGGGCAGGACAGACAAGGACTCTTATCTCACTTGTTCCTCTCAGCAGAGCCACTGTGGAGATGGGGCTCCTTTTCAGAAAACCCTGAGGAGGTTTCTTGTCTTCCATAACTCATTTTCTGGCGCCTAATTCTGCTTCTTTTCCAAAACTGCTCTGAAAAATGGATTCTAAATCAATTATTTACACTTCAGCATGAGTGCTTATGTAGTGTGCATCTTCTTCCAGAGGTCTGTATATTTAAGCCTTTCACCAAAGTTTTCCTTTCAGTGAAAGGATTTTAGTCATTGTCAGGGCGTAAGCGTGTGTGTGTGTGTGTGTGTGTGTGTGTGTACACATATAATACCTTTATTTTATTTATTTATTTTTATGTGGTGCTGAGGATTAAACCAGTGCCTCACACATRCTAGGCAAGTGCTCTACCACTGAGCCACAACCCTGGTCCCATWGTCAGGGTAGTTTGATGGTACTACCTAATAAGCTGCCAGCTTAGATTGATGGGACCTTTCTTGGTATGCAATACTAAGAAGGGGTCTCTCATATTAAAACAAAACAAAGTAATAGAGGATCTTTTCAGGATTAAAAATAATCTAGTAATTTGTGTCTCTCTTGTGTCCAGTCCTTGCCACACACATATTTTTGTATGTGCGGCCACCGAGAGTAGACATGGAGTATAACACTCTGCACCATATTATTTCATATGCCCATTTCTATTAGTGACATAGATTCATACACCTACTTCATGTGAAATTGTTTGTCTTTTTATTTTCATTAACAGTTCTGCCTTGAACATCTTTACTATTGTTTCTTTAATTATTTTTCCCCTTCCCAGCTACTGAGAATTCATTTCTCAGAGCAGGTTTGAAAAGGAACAGAATTAGGTATCAGGAAGGATGGCAACCTGGGCAATTTAGCAAGACGCTGTCTCAAATTTTTTAAAAATAATAATAATAATTTTTTAATTAAAAAATGTCTTCTTTGGAGGCTGGGGTTGTGGCTCAGTGGTACAGTGCTCACCTGGCATGCACAAGGCACTGGGTTCAATCTTCAGCACCACGTAAGTATGAAATAAAGATATTGTGTCTACCTAAAACTAAAAAAAAATAAATAAATATTTAAAAATTGTCTTCTTTGTGGTATAGTCCACTAAAAATCCTGTCAAAGAGAAATTAAATATTGACATAGAAGGAAGTCATCATATGGAAAAATTTTTAAATTTGCTATCATTGAGAAGAAAAGTAGTTGACTTTGAAGTATCACAGATGCTGGTGGCACATGCCTGTAATCACAGCAACTCAGAASGCTGAGGCAGGAGAATGGCAAGTCCAAGGTCAGCTTCAATGACTTAGAAAGACCCTGTCTCAAATAAAAAATAAGGAGTTGTGGCTGTGGCTCAGTGATAGAGAGCTTGCCTAGCATTGTGAGGTGCTGGGTTCAATCCTTAGCACCACGTACAATACATAAATAAATAAATAATGGTCCACTGACAGCTAAAAAAAAATTTAAATAAATAAAAAATATAAAAAGGCTGGGGAGCCAGGTGCAGTGGCACACACCTRTAATCCCAGCCTCTTGGGAGGCTGAGGCAGAAGGATTACAAGTTCAAAGCCAGCCTCAGCAATTTAGTGAGTCTCTAAGCAGCTTAGCAAGACCCTATCTCAAAATAAAATATAAAAAGGGCTGGGGATATGGCTCAAAGCACAATGACTTTTCTCCTCAACACCTTGCAGAGGGGTCTTCTACTGGGGTTTACTCCCCAGTACTGCCATGGTGGGTGGGCAGGGCAGACAGGGAAGGTAGCACATGACTATTAAGCAAAAAAAAAAAAAAAAAAAAATGTGCTAAAACCTAACTTAGGTGGTGCTGTGGAGAAGCAGGTACATTTTTGGTGATTCTGAGAGTTAGTTTAGTCTTTCTGTAAAGCAGTATGGAAGGAAGTGGAAAAATCCTAAATATATATAAACCCTTGGACACCAGGGTCCAAGGAAATAGGACCTAATAAAATGAATGTTTCATTTCTTTAGATGAAAAGAAAAGCCCACATATAAGGTAGGTTTTATAAGTTATGTGGCAAACATAAATCATAAAAGTCTACCTTTTTATGTTTCATTACATTTTGTCCAACAAAAAATATTTTTTTAATTTGAGATATGATCTTACTGTGTGATCCTCCTGCCTCAGCCTCCTGCTTTGCTGGAATTACAGGCATGCACCACTGCTCCTGACCCTTCCAGATTGTTGACCACATTACAGAAAACAATTTAAGGACACATCAGAGTTTCAGTGGCAAAGGGAATTTATTGCAAAGTGAAAGTACATACTCAAGGACTAAATGCAGGCATGCCCAAAGTTTGAGAGACTCACAGATATATGGGTTGTGGTTTATATTGTTCAGGAAAATTAATCCTCCTAAGCAGAGGCTGAAAATGGAAGAGATTCTCTGAATTGGGAAGACCTTTTAGGGAAAATTGCTCAGTTTTAATTAGGCAGCTAAAGGGTATGTTGAGTATATATAGTAATCAACCTTAATGAGCAAAAGGTAAAGGTAAGGTCAGGAATCATTATGGTGAGTTTGTGCAAGAAACCAGTTACAGCTGGCTCTGGAGTGTGGCCTACCTCATGGTTAAGGCAAAATGTTTTCTCTAATCAGATGCTAGCAGGATACCTGTGGTTAAGCAGGAGCAGCCCACAGGTTGCTTGCAGAGGTGCCTGCCAGCACCTWATTTCCCTGTGCCTAACTCAGGAAGAGAGTGGCTATCTTCCAGATCTGGCACAGAACTACCAGCCTCCTACTCTCACTATAAGTAGCRTTGGGGAAGCTGCCTTGTGGGCCAGGGAAGGCCAACAAATAGTTTTCAGTTATGCAGAAATACAAAATGGGGCTGAGAGTTGCCACTTCAGGTGGCACTCAAGATGTTCTACCCCAGTGACTCCCTTCACTCACATCAGGCTCACTCCATGTCCTTCTTTCTCTCAATGCCATATGAAGTGAAGTCACTTCCCGGGATCCCTCCGAACCCTGCCCCCRCTATTGCCACCTTCAGCCAAGCCCCAAGCCAGCCTCAGGCATCGCAGACCCTGACACCACTGGCTGTACAAGCTGCCCCCCAGGTAAGGGCCACCCCAGGGAGCTGGACTGAGGGCAGTGGGTAGGAATGAGGTGTGGGGTGGCCAGGGTCTGGGATCTGCATGAGGCAGGACAGAGAAAGGGTATGGGTTGAGGGAGGGAATCTCTTACTGGGACCCCTGGCCTCTCCCTTCCCCAAATCAGGCCCATTGGAAAAGATCTGCATTTGCTGGGCAGTTTCTTTGGGTCCAGAAAGAACTATAGAAATTCCATTAACTCTTTCATGCTGCAGAGTTTCTGCTTATCTTAATAATGAAATAAGTAAATAGCTTTGTCAGCTCCTTTAGCAGATGCTTGGAAGAGTTAATAGAGTGTTCAGAGTCCTCATTTAGAGACAGGGAGCAGCCCCAGCCAGTGAGAAGCTGCCTGTAGGATCCTGCAGGCAAGCATAGCCCTGGTGACCTTTGTTCCATGCACTAATCTCTGAGGCATCCAGTCAGAGGGCATCCTCTACCAGAGCCTGGGGGAAACTTGGGGGAGGCTTAAGAGACAGCAGACCCCAGAGAAGGTCTGTGCAGCCCTACCTGTCCAGTGGGCAGGGCTGGGCCCTGCCTTGATTTGGGCCACTTCTTTGCAGGCAAGATAGTATGGCTCAGGCACCCGCTCAGGTCCAGCCTCCAGCTAGGGCATGGCTCTTCCCTGCCTCCTGTGGCCTCTCCCCACTGCCCTTAAAATGTTTTGTTTGTGCTCAACTGGGTCTAAGAGACCCAGTGTTTGCGCTATCAATGTTGATTTTTTATTTTTTCTTTTCTTTTTGAAATCTTGTTTGCTTTTGCAGGTCTTGACTCAGGAAAACTTAGCCACAGTTCTGACAGGAGTTATGGTTCCAGCAGGGGCAGTTACTCAACCTCTTCTTATCCCCATCAGTATTGCAGGTCAAGTGGCTGGGCAGCAGGGGCTGGCCGTGTGGACAATTCCTACAGCAACTGTGGCTGCCCTCCCAGGACTGACTGCTGCTTCTCCCACGGGGGCACTATTCAAGCCACCTTTAGCTGGTCTGCAAGGTAACGGCAACTCTCCCCAGGACTGCACCAGGCCCCCCACCACCCTACACTACCACTCCTGCACACGTGCTTGCCATGTCGGACTCAGAACCCACGGCCCACTCAGGGCAACAGCCCTGGAGTCTGCATCAGTGTCCCAGGCTCCCAGCCACAGAGCCGCTGCACCATCTTGGAACTCTAGGCCAGGACATCATGTCAGCCCAGCAGGCCTTTCTTCCTTCAACCAACTGCCTGAGACTGCCCCTCCCCCCATGCCAGCTTCCTGAGAAGGACTGCAAGAAGATTCAACATCTGGTTCTTGAACCTACACATCTCCTGGCCCAAGGGAGGGGGGATGAGAGATGCTGGCATGTGCCAGCCCTTCAAGGATCAAAGCAGCTGCGTGCCCCCTATGCCCATTGCCCCAACCCCATGTTATTCTTGTGCCAGATCCCTTGGGATTGGAGCCACTCTGGGCCATGGCTAGGCGTTTGAGCACCTCTGTCTCTGCCTTGCTCCATAGCAGCTGCCGTGCTGAACACCGCTCTCCCGGCACCCGTACAAGCTACCCCACCAGTCCAGGCCTCTTCACCGGCCCAGCCCCGGCCACCAGCCCAGCCCCAGACACTGTTCCAGACCCAGCCGCTGCTGCAGACCACGCCTGCCATCCTACCACAGCCCACTGCTGCCACCGCTGCTGCCCCCACCCCCAAGCCAGTGGACACCACCCCACAGATCACCGTGCAGCCTGCAGGCTTCGCGTTTAGTCCAGGAATCGTAAGCTGCTGCCCTCACCCAAGGCTGACCAGGGATGGATCAAATCTTGGGCCAAGGGTAGAACTGACCCTTCCCGCAGTGGAGGACCTGCCCCTTGAATACAGCCCTTTTCCAACACATCAGCCGAGATGAGCTCCCTCTGAGGTCTTCTTGCAGCTGTCAACCTGTCCAGCTCAGGCAAAAGCATACAGCCTCTGCCAAGAGGGCTGGGCAAATTCTCCAGAACCTGAACCACTGGACCAGCCTTGGAGGGTGGGATGATGTCTAGGGATTGCGAATCTGTGAGCTGCCATGAAGTGCAGTTAGAGGCTCACTACTCTGTGCTGATGTCTATTCGGTGTGGCTCCCGACTTGGCAGTGGAGCTGTCAGATGTGACTAGGGACACATCAGCCCCTCCAGTCAGGCCCTTCTACCCTCCCAGGCCTGGCCCAAAAGATTAACCAGTTACTGTCCTGACTGTGGTCTCTGCCCTACCCTACTGCCCCCTGAAGCCCCTACATAGTACTGGATACTATTCAGCTGTGGACATGGGCCTGCAGTCCTGGCCATGTTCACAAATGCCCATCCCCATGCCCCCAGCCCTTTTCCCTCTATCAGAGTCTCTTTCTCACCCCTTGGCCTCTGAGCAGGACTCTTCCTCCACCCACAGATCAGTGCTGCTTCCCTCGGGGGACAGACCCAGATCCTGGGCTCCCTCACTACAACTCCGGTCATTACCAACGCCATTCCCAGCATGCCAGGGATCAGCAGTCAGATCCTCACCAATGCTCAGGGACAGGCAAGTGGTCAAAGCCAAGTCTGGGGGGTGGGGGCTATGGAGAAGCTGGCCAGGAGTGGGCCAGGAATTGGGCTAACAGTCATAGAAACTCAAATAGGGTGTCAAATTGCTGTTCATAGCTCCCTATGGTGGCTCTCTGATGATGCTGAGGCCAGGCAGGGGTAGTACTAACCTGTCCTACAGGTGCTCATTCTAGTTGGGGGGTTTCATTTAAAGAGCACCTACTTTGTGGCTACGCTTTGGGCTAGGTGCTTTCTTATACATTTTCTCATTTTGGGTACAAATCTATTAGGTAGAGATTTTTATTCCCATTTGGTGGGAAAGAAGACTGAAGTTGAGATAAACTAAGCCACACAACTGAAATGTTGCAGAGCCAGGATTGGCATCCAGGTCCCTGATTCATAAACAGACCTATTGCTGTCATGCTGCAGCTCTGGATAGAATAAAGAAAGGAGCCCCTCTAGTGTGAATCCTTTACTTTGATGATGAGGAAACGGAGGCCAGAGAGGTTAAGTGATTTGTCCAAATTAGCATCTTCATCTACCAGTGTGGGGATCTGGGTTGGGGAGGAGCTGGGCACTGCCCTCATGCCTGGGGTCCCTGCCTTATTTCCTCCCAGGTTATTGGAACACTTCCATGGGTGGTGAACTCAGCTAGTGTGGCAGCCCCAGCACCAGCCCAAAGCCTGCAAGTCCAGGCCGTGACCCCCCAACTGTTGTTGAATGCTCAGGGCCAGGTGATTGCGACCCTGGCCAGCAGCCCCCTGCCTCCGCCTGTGACGGTCCGGAAGCCAAGCACGCCTGAGTCCCCTGCTAAGAGTGAGGTACTAGGGTTGGGGGTATGGGTGGGGTGACAGGCAATACTGTCTCCATGGGCTGCTTACCTCCAGGTTGTGACTCCTGAAAAAGAGCACCCACCGAAAGTGAAGGGAGAGCCCTGAGTAGAAGGACTACATGAGTTCACCCCAACCCTACCCAGGACATAGCATCCTTTGGTCCCCTACCCAATCATACCAAAACATGTGTCTGTGCCCTCAGAAGTCAATATCATTCTAAGAAGGAAGGTGGAGGGTGGGTCTGAAATGTGTGGGGTGGTCAAACTGCTGGAAAAGATCCAGGAGGTTCGTTCTGTACCCCCTCCTCCTTCACCTCTCCACTCTGCTCCTTGATTTTGATTATTCATTTCATTGTTCATTTCAGAAGCATTTTTTGAGTGTCTAATATATCCTAAGTACTGAATATACAAGGATGACTAAGATGCCCTTGCTGGCCTTAGGTAGCTCAGCATTAAAAATAACTACAAATCAATATCATAAACCCAGTACAGTGGCACACACCCATAATCCCATCAGTTCAGGAGGCTGAGGCAGGAGGATCCCAAGTTTGAGGCCAGTCTTTGTAACTTAGTGAGACCCTGTTTCAAAATAAAAAGGGCTGGGGATGTAGCCCAGTATAGTTAGTGCCCAGTACCAAAAATGAGGAAAAAAACATTTTTTAAAGTCAACATTATAGAACAATACATTAGATATATTATATCCTCAAACAAGGATATATCCAATRTAATGGGATTATGTGGATAATTTYGTATCTATACAGATTTATTAATTATTAGGTTGTTAAGTCATCATATATTACTTATTAATTTCTTCTTTTTGTTGTTGTTGTAGTAGATGGACACAATATTTTATTTTATTTATTTTTATGTGGTGCTAAGGATCGAACCCAGTGCCTCACATGTGCTAGGCAAGCTCTCTACCCCTGCCTACACTCCCAGCCCCTAATTTATTCTTTTTTCAAATAAATTTTTTTCATTGTCAATGGACATTTATTTGTTTATTTTTAAGTGGTGCTGAGAATAGAACCCAGTGCCTCACACATACTAAGCAAGTGCTCTACAACTGAGCTACAACCCCAGTCCCCTAATTTATTCTTTTTCAAAAAACATTTTTAGTTTATTTTATCTATTTATTTATTGAACCCAGTGCCTCACATGTGCTCTACCACTGTGCCTCAGCTCCTGTGCCCTAATTTATTTTTAAAATATTTTTTTCCATTCAAAATACTGTCACATTGGAAGAAAATGAAATGAAATGAAGGGAGGAAAAAGTCAACATGATAAAGACTATGATAGAGGCGTGAATAAAGCAATTTGAGACACCAGAGAAGGGAGTTCTGACAGGAGAGGGAGTCAGGCAAGTCAACCTAGAGAAGGAGCTTTGAACTAATATGAAAGGATGAGTTGGCTGTGAGGGTGTTCTGTATCTGGGGAACTACAGGGAGTATCCTGTGCTAGAGCAGCAATTCTCGAACTCATGCATCAGAATTACCTGAAGGGCTTGTGGGATTGAAGAGTTTCTTTTTCAGTATGTCTAAAGTGGGGCCTAATAATATGTTTTCTAAATTCCTAGGTGACATTGAGGTCAGGGGTTCTCAAATGTGGTAGGCTGCTTCTAAACTTTGTAAATAACCCCTTAGCCTCATCTGTAAAATAAGGGTTGTAAGAGGACCTACCTCAGAGGGTTATGAATGTCATGCTGCAGCAACAAACACTGATGCATTTTTTAAAATTTTCTGTTATCCAGATAAATCTAAGAACTAGACTGTTGTGAGACTTGAATCCTTGTCACCTGTTAGGAGGCAATTTAAGCAGTTCCAGCAAGAGACAAAGAGCTTTGAACAAAGGTAGAGGTTTTAGGGATGAAGAAGAAATAGACTTGAGGGCTGGGGCTGTGGCTCAGCAATAGAGWGCTTGCCTAGCATGTGCGAGGCCCTGGGTTCGATCCTTAGCACCACATAAAAATAAATAAGTAAAGGTATTGTGTCTAACTACAACTAAAAAATAAATATTAAAAAAAAAGAAATAGACTTGAAAGCTGCCAGGAGGTAGAACCCAGGGAATAGGACCATTCTGGAGAAACATGCATTTCCTAGAAAGCTTTATTAAAAAAAAAAAACTTTAAAACACTAATTTCATATATTTATAGTTTCTTCTCATTACAAATATGACATGATTTTTATTGAAATTTCAGTATGTATCATGTAAAAAGTAAAAATCCCATGGGCTGGCAGGGTAGCTCAGTGGTAGAATATGTGCCTAGCACACCTGAAGCCTTGGGTTTCATCTCAGCACTGCACACACACACACACACACACACCATAAAAATTCCTTCTAATTCTACCACCAGAAATTACTTCTGTTGTTAGCTTGCTTCATATGACTCAAGATTTTTTTCCTGGAAATTCATAGGTACATTTTAAAAAATTATTTTTTTTTAGTTATAGATAGACAGTACATTTATTTATTTCTATGTGGTGCTGAGGATCAAACCCAGTGCCTCACACATGCCATTCAAGCACTCTACCACTGAGCCACAACCCCAGCCCCTCATAGGTATTTTTTTAAAGGTATTTCTCCATAAAACCTTTTTTTTCCTTTTTGCAGTATTGGGAATTAAACCCAGGGGTGTTCTATTGCTGAGCTACATTCCAGCCCTTTTATTTTTTTTATTTTGAGACAAGGTCTTGCTAAATTGCAGAGGCTGGCTTTGAACTTGCAATCCTCCTGCTTCAGCCTCGTACATTGCTAAGATTATAATAAGTGTGAGCCACTGCACCCAGCTAAAAACTATATTTCACCTTAGGTTTTTTCATTTAGCCTCTATGACTCAGTACAGTTAAGAGATGTACTTTATTCTTTTAATATATGCATAATCTCTCATTGTTGTGAGATCAAGGAGTTATCTATCTGTTCCCTACTCATGGATATTTGAGGCCTGGGCAACTCTAGAATGAGAAGAACTTACTCCTGATTAGAATCTAGCATAAGCTTTTCCTTTGAGGGCAGAGATATGAGATCAGTTATCCCAAAGGTAGAAACTTGGTGGGGCTTTCACCAAGAGTACTGAGACATTCTGAGCCTCTCATCTGCATAGGTGGCTTCAGCTTCACTGGGCATGTTGCTCTACTTATTTCAGAGGTCACTATTGTGAAATGGGTATTAGTAATCAGCAGCTTTAATCTTGTTTTGTGAGAGGATACAGGTGGGAGGATACTGGTAAGTGAGAATTTCATACTCTCCTGCACTGGTCCATCCAGGGATTCTGACCCCCTGAGTTACGCAAGGAACAACAGGGGCTTATCTCTCTTCCAGGTGCAGCCCATCCAGCCCACACCAGCTGTGCCCCAGCCTGCTGTGGTCATTGCCAGCCCAGCCCCAGCAGTCAAGCCATCTGCCTCTGCTCCCATCCCAATCACCTGCTCAGAGACCCCCACGGTCAGCCAGTTGGTATCCAGTAAGTGGCTCCTGGAAGAGAGAAGGTGGGGGGCATTTGTTTGGGCATTTTAACTTGCTCACATACTGCTTTTATTATATATTTCCTGGAGACATATGCTATGGCATGGTCCTGGAGTCCCAGCTACTCAGGAGATTGAGGCAGGCAGATCACTTGAGTGTGGGCAATCAAAGCCAGCCTGGGCAATCCCATCTGAAATGAATCAAATTCCTGGATTCCAAAAGTCACAAAGGGCAGAAGCCCAATTCGAGGAGCTAGCTTTCTTATTCCTGTTGCTGTTGAGCTTGATAGATTCTGGACAGGATGGTAGAGACTGCTCAGTTGGTTGGCTGACTGCTTCTCTGAGAGGCCAAGCCATTGGCTGTCTGCTGTGGGCTCTCATCCAGCACTGAGGAACGTGGACAGCCAACAAGTGTGCTTGAGGCAGGATGAGGGACTGTGGGGTGGGGGAAAGGTCAGTAGTTAGAGCGATAAGAACTTGAAAATAAGCCTTATCCCTGAGAGGGTGGTCCAGCCCCTTTCCCACAAGTCTGCTTGCCTTGGGAAGGGGTATTGAAGGTAGGTGCACAAGCCTAGTGTCCCCATTCCTCACCATGCACTCGTCCAGACCAATGGACCAGATAATCAGTGATGATTCCCATCTTACACACTCATCTCTGATCTTTCCTTTGGCCTAGAGCCACATACTCCAAATCTGGATGAGGATGGGATCAACTTAGAAGAGATCCGGGAGTTTGCCAAGAACTTTAAGATCCGTCGGCTCTCCCTGGGCCTTACACAGACCCAGGTGGGCCAGGCTCTGACTGCAACAGAAGGTCCAGCCTATAGCCAGTCAGCCATCTGCCGGTAAGTAAGGCTGCCCTGGACAAGGTCAGGGTCTGCTCAGTGCCTACCAGGCATCTAGCCCCTTACCATATCCCCCTTGCTCCTGACTTCTACCAGATAAGATGTATTTATCTGGATATGAACACCTGGAGTAGCTAAAGACTGACTAAACTCTCTGAAATTTATTCTCTGATCCTGAGCATTTATGTGGTCTTTTGGGGGCAATCTAAGACCCAAATCCATTCAGGAATCCTAGCAGAAAAGGAGTTATAAACTTAGTCACACAAGTAGGAACTTCAGTTCCCTTGTGGCCCTCAACCAGGCCACACCCTGTCATGCTGTCATCTCCCCCTCCTATAAGGCCTGACTATAAAGTACGAGAGCTGATTTTTCTGTGTGTACCTTATAAACTGGTTTTGATGTCAATATCAGAGGAAGGGGAGCAGAGAGTTTCAAAGAAGAAACTCATTGGGCTCAGTGGATAACCCAATGATTTCATCTGCCTGCCAACTCTGTAGCTAAGACTATAATGACTATTAGAGCGACAACCGTGCCGTGTTGGCTCGGCCAGAAAAGTAGCCTGTCATGTTAGCCATGTTCCTATGAGAGTGCAGTTGGAGGAGGACAGCACTCATGTCCTCTGGAGGCTGCTCAAGATGACTTCTCAAGGGACTTCACTCATTTGGGTGTGAAAGTTTTGGAATGGTTGTTTAGGGCAGTATTGTCATCATCCTATTGACCTGAGGCTGTAGAAATAATCTCACTGTTAAGACCTGGGATTCTGGAGAGTCTGAGGAGTCTGGTCTTGGACAAGCCAAAGGGGTCATGGTGGAGGCAGTGAGAGGACACTGGGAAGGGCCTTACCAGTTCCACAAGGAGCAGCCCCTTGAAGGTAGTGCACTGAGACCAACACACTCTGTTTCTTCCTGGGCATGTGTTGTCTGCAGGTTTGAGAAGCTGGATATCACGCCCAAGAGTGCCCAGAAGCTGAAACCAGTGCTGGAGAAGTGGCTAAATGAGGCTGAACTCCGGAACCAGGAAGGCCAGCAGAACCTGATGGAGTTTGTGGGAGGTGAGCCCTCCAAGAAACGCAAACGCCGCACCTCCTTCACCCCCCAGGCCATAGAGGCCCTCAACGCCTACTTTGAGAAGAACCCGTTACCCACAGGTCAGGAGATCACCGAGATTGCTAAAGAGCTCAACTATGACCGGGAGGTAGTGCGAGTCTGGTTTTGCAATCGGCGCCAGACACTCAAGAACACCAGCAAGCTGAATGTCTTTCAGATCCCCTAGGGCTTGGCCTCCAGCCCTGTGTTCCAGCACTTTGTATTCTTCCCTTGACACCTGACTGTCTCCACTGCCATGACAGAACCTGTCATTTTGCCACATCATGAGACTCCACTGTGTGCATGTGTCAATGCCTCCCTCCTCTTTCCCACATATCTCATATCCTGGGGAGGCCAGAGGGGACCCATGAGAGAGCCCCAGGTTCTGGGCTGAGCATGACAAAGGAAAAGATTTGTGGTGGTGCTTAGGGAAGCACTTTGCTAACATGGTTTCTGAAGGGCAAATTCTGGCTGGGAACCAGATACTCCTGAGGACCATTAGCTCTTGCTTTTGATAACATTCTCTCTCCACTTTCCTTTCTCCTTTACATCTCCTTTACTGTGGAACCACAGCCTCACATTACCTTCCCTCACTTCACCTACAGACAAACTAAACCCCTGAAAGGACTTAGGATATAAATTCAGAAAAGTTGCCGGGTGCAGTGGTGCACCTGTAATCCCAGCAGTTTTAGGAGGCTGAAACAGAAGGATCGAGAGTTCAAGGCCAGTCTCAGCAATAGCAAGGCGCTAAGCAATTCAGTGAGACCCTGTGTCTAATTAAAACACAAAATCGGGCTGAGGATGTGGTTCAGGGGTTGAGTGCCCCTGAGTTCAACCCCAGTACCCCACCCCACCCCCCCAAAATCCAGAAGTTTCTGTGCTGCTCCAAAGGTCAGACCCAATGTCTGCCTTGACCTCAAGGTCAGAAGGTTCCTGAAGTCCTGTGCCAGAACATATGAACTCCTCTCCCTGGTTCTTTGGGGTTTGGGAGTAGGGTTTGCATTAAATCAGAAACTTTTCTGTTACAATCTGTGTTGAAAGAGCAACAGTAAACTTTACCTGTCCTGGAGTTGCCCTGGGCCAGCTGTGGGTCTGGAATTTAGTAAATAAGTCCATTCTCCAGGGTTTTAATCTAATTTCTGTCCTCAGCCATCCCCTCCCCCCAAAAAATGTGGGTTAAGAGAATTTGCAGCTGGGCCTGCAGCGCATGCCTGTAATCCCAGCTACTCGAGAGGTTGAGGCAGGAGGATAATGAGTTTGAGACTAGCCTAGGCAGCATAATGAGATCCTGTCTCAAAGGAAAAAAAAGAGAGCAAGGACTTGCACCCTGGTAAATCCCACTGCCCAGCAAGCAGGCAGCTCTGGAAAAAAATGAGGAAAGGAATGCTGATTTTTCTCTCTCCCTCTTTTGCCCCCCTAGMCCCCCACCCAATCCAGTATTGGAACCTTCTCAAAGGAGCAAATTAAACAATAAACCAGACAGGAAGGCCCTGAGGGAAAGGACAATATCYAGAAAGAGCTGATGGCAGCCCAGAAAGATCTTTTGGGGAAGTTAAAGACTTAATTCTAATTTTCTTTATAACTGTAAACCTTGGATATTGGAGAAATCTCACTTTGTCCAGAGTTGTAGACCATATCTGTTGCAGGCAATTCTCCCAGTGCTGCTCTGAGTCAGGACTACCCAGTTCAGGATGAATTTTGCCTGTAGAGGGGGTAGCTATGGTACCTTGGGGGTTAGCATCTTATCCAAGCTGTGAAGTGAGTTTCCAGCCTCACTGTGACTGGACACCCCTTAAAATGCAATATGTGACTTTAGGTCAGGAGAGACTAAGAGGTTGGCTTGGATGATCCCAGACTTGCTATATACACTGTCCCTAAGATCCACAAGTCCCCGGAGTCAAATATCCTCTCCTTTCATTATTGTTATCTTTACAATGCCTGGTCTCTAGCAGCTGTCCTTCACTGTACCTCACATGATCTACCCCAAGTGGGTGACCGTCAAGTAAAGGCACGTTACTACTTCTGTTGGTCACTGGTGTAGAGCTACTATACCTAGCTTCCTTTCCTGCCCACTACTGGTCCCTCCTRGGTTCTGCAATGCCATTGTGGCCATCCTCTTGGTAACCCTGCCAGTGAGAGGAAGACAGTGTGAGTGTGCTACAACCAACCTGCCAGAGTGTGGTGGGGGTGAGGAGCGGGTGGGCAGYTTACTTGAGCCACCCCCCCAGAAGAGAGTACGTCTTCAAAGGAGAAGCTCCACACTTCAGGCCATGGTTATAAACCTGCCTCTTTGAGATGACAAACTCACTTGGGAGGGGTATTGTGAACAAGTTTTCAGTAKGAATAATTTTCCATATGGAAATCTTTCAAGGATTCAGTGACTCAGACTACAATGAGTTAGAAAGATGCAGGTTTTCTTGCTCAAACACTTGCATTCAGAGGTGCTTTCTTTTTTTGGGAAAAAAAAGTGGGTCACAGCTGGTGCCCTGGAAGTAGCATATAATATAGGGTGTGTCCATGCTGTGAATGTGCAGGAGGACACCATCTGTCCTGTGGCTTGACAGGAAAAAAATCATGAACCACTGGTCTAAATTAGGCCTGGTCATGATTTCTTAGCCCCTCCCTTGTCTAAATCTGTTCTCCCAAGGCTGGGCGAGAACTAAATCRTTTTCTCCTCTACTGGAAAGATGGGTCAGTCTTTCAGAAGAATACTGGGACCTGAATGTTTGCAGCTGAATTCTCCAGACCGGGGGTGCAGGATGTGCCTGAAATATATTCCAAGCAGAGCTCATTGGCCTATGGCCTCTGTCCGTGCTCCTCCATCAGAGGATCCCCCAGGAAGCAGATGGTGCCTGGGCCATTCACCTAGGAGGCAGTTTTTGTTTTTTGTTTGTTTGGGTTTTGTTTTCTTTGGTTTTGGTAGCATCATGCTCTGAAGGGTGTTAAAAATGAAGTCAGAGCTCAGTGGCTCCTTTGCTATGGAACGGCAGAAATGATTTAACTGTATAGTTTTGTTTTAAATGAAAGAAAGACCAAAARCTTTCTGTGGGCTGAATCAGCTGGGGCCTTTGACCCTGCACTAACCGTGGCATTTTATCCAGGCGAAGTCCAGGGAAAGAATTCAGTCAAATGAACTGAGGAACACACTTGAGTTTAGACTGAGCAACCATGATGTTTTTGTCTTCTCWGAAATCCAGTCATCTTCCTGTGCCCAGATTTTCTTTCCTGCCTCTTGGGCCAGATTCTGACATTGAAGTTCTGACTGACCCAGCACAGGGCAATGCCTACTGAGGGCTGGAGGGAGGGTGGGGAGGGGAGAATTGGAGAGAAACACTTGGTGTAGTTGTGTGGAATAAACAGTATTTTTTCTTTTGTACTGGTCTGCCTGTTTCTTGGTGACCTCCTAAAGTGGAAATATAAAGGAAGCAATGTCAGAGGCCAGGCAAGTGGCAGGGAGCTAGCTGTCAGCTTGCACCATTGAAAATCCCATTGTAAGAAGGTCAGAGTCAGTCCCCTCAATTCCCCCCTTACTATTTTTTAAAAAATATTTGTATTACTTATTGATGGACCTTTGTTTATTTGTTTGTTTATATGTGGTACTGAGAATTGAATCCAGTGCCTCACACATGCTAGGCAAGCACTCTACCACTGAGCCACAACCCCAGCCCATCGATTCCCACTTTATTATTATTTTTTATTAGATAATCTATGATTTGTTTTGAAAATTACATTATGATGAGGAACATGTGGTAGAGCAGAGCTGCTCACATGGTGGAAAGAGAGAGAGAGAACACACTAGATTCCCAATTTAGACCCTCCTTATTGGGCTGAGGGTCTGCAGGGCCCTTTCTCCTTCTAGACTATCCTCTTGGTACCTAGAACCCAGAATTCTCTGCCAAGCCTATTTCCTGGATCTCTCTTCTTGGAGTCCCAAGAACAGCCTATGATGTTGGTATATACACTTGTGTGTCCAAGAGGCAGCTGTCTTAGTCCATTGGGGCCACTATAATGAAACACCTTGGACTGGTAGTTTATAAACAACATAAATTTACTGCTTATGGTTATGGAGACTGGGAAGTCAAAGATCAAGGAACTGACAGATCTGGTTTTTGATGAGCGTCCTCTTCCCCATAGATGGAAGTCTTTTCACTGTAACCTCACATGGTACAAAGGCAAACATGCTCCCTAAGGCCTCTTTTAAGGGCCTTGTTCTGGTCAACCCTCATGACCTAATCAATCTTCCCAAAGGTCTCACTTCTTAATACTATCTTATTGGGAATTATGTTTCAATTTTGGAGGGACACAGATATTCAGGCCAGCAGTGACCAAGGGATAGCTGTTTGTCAGAGACTTGCACGACAGAGCTTGTATATACAGGCTGAGGTCTACATGTGTACACAAAGCCCTTTGCCTCTCCAGTTAGAGAGAGGGGAGATAAGGCAGTCTCTAGACTGGGAGTCTGGACTGGGGAACATTCTACCATGGAACTTCAAGGAGTCCTGGACATCTAAATTCAAACAGGGCTTGAATTATGAAGGTATATTTAGAAGATATTTAGAAGGCTAGAACATTACTAGTTAGCGATTTATACAGTTCTTTATAAAAATGGAATGTATGATTAAGTGGGGCTTCATTTTTCACTCTTCCCAGGCCTGCCACCTGAGCATACAGCTGAGAGAGCCCAGCTGTCATGAGTGCCTCTTTGTTGGCTTGTCTAACTCTGAGGACTAGGATTTAGGCCATCTCCTTCACAGTCTTCTCTTCCCCCACCTGGTATCGACGATGTCTGAGCTGCGTAATCTAAGCTGGCAAGGGCAAGGCCATGACTGCCCAACCACCATTACTACACCTCAGATGAGGTGAAGAGGATTGGTTCTAGACGGCCACCACCTGGCCCCCACTCACAGTGGTAATAGATGTCTAAGACTCTGACACAAGGCTTACAAATCAGAGGCACTTTACAGAACTCTGAAATACTGGGGAAATATAACAAAAAGAAGCCAACACTTACCCCAGCATAGACCTCACACACTGGGCTGTGACTCCTCAATACATAGGCCAGAGCACATTGTAAATGCTCAATAATTGTCGAATAGATAACTGAATGCATTTTCTACTGTTCCTTTCAAGAAAATAATGAGAGCTAAGACTTCAGGCAACAGGGACAGAGCAGGGACAGGGGGGGATTCTGCTTACCATGCAGGGTTTGGACTGTGAACCGTGGGAGTGAATGGAATCTCACCAGATAGAGACAGTGCCAGCAGCTCCCACCAGGAGAGTCCTGGGAACTGATCTCTCTGGCTCAGACCAGTTGAGAATGGTTGCTGGCAGTTGGCCCAGGAAGGCTGTCCTAGAAGCAGGTGGGTTTGTGGAAGAACTGCAGTTCTTTTCCTCCCAGGCCTGGGAATTTCATTGTAAATGAAATGAAATGGTTATAAAGGGGGAACTGACCTTTTATAGTCTGGAGAAGATGTGGGCTGGTTTCTGAACTACAGACAGGAGAGGAGAAGAACCTGAGATTGCTTTGAACTGTGTAACTGTGAAAACTGATGATTTCATTTCCTTTCAACTAAAGGGTCTTTCAGAGAAGACAGACTCGACTTCACAGGCTCCTTGGGTGGGGTGCAGAAATACAGGAAAAGTTAAGGCTAGGTGGTCAGTCCTCAAAAAAGCTTCCTTGGTTTTAGTTTCTTCCTTTACCTGAAGGAAAATGCTCAGGGATTAATTTAGGAATTCAGCAATACTGATTGACCTGCAGGACCTGAGTAACTGAGTGTGAAGGGAAGGGGGGGGCACGGGGGGCGGGATGGAATCACATTAGGGAAGGGAGCCTGAGTCCTCCAGCCTGATTTCTAAGAGGTAGATAAGTGCTGGAGTATTCTCTTTTTGTCAACCATAATAATGGCTAAATTTTACCCATTACTACATGCTAGGCACTGTTCTAAGCACTTAACATTCATTATCTCAGTCAGTTCTTACAATAATTCTACAAAGTAAGACTCTCATATTGATTTTAGATTCAGGGAAAATGAGGAATCTGCTCAAGGTTGCATTATGAGCAGCAGAGACAGGATTTGAACCCAGGTGGGCTGTCTTTAAAGTTTTGGGTTTAACCTTGTCCTATATAGACTCTGAGAGGTAGGTGGGACCTGGGGGTTGCTATCTTCCTGATCTTTGCAGTAGAGTTTCCACCCACCAGGGTAGACCCTGCTGTGTCTCATCTAAATAATGTTCCAGGACTTAATCTAGGTAAATGAACCCTTCACAATGAGACTAACTTCATCCGACGACCAAAATACTGAATTCTGAGCTCTGTACCACAGGTGCTCTGGTTAATTAGTTTCATTTATTATGTTTAATCGGAGCTATGATTTTTCATTGTAGGATGAATTTATGGGTACAACAAAATCTGATCTATTGATAGATGTTGCTGAATTTTTAAGGGTTGCTGCCTATTTCCAATCCTAGAATTCTGATTCCACTCTTAATTTAGTGAGGAAGGGAAAGGAAAGAAAAAGTTATTTCTCCAGTTATAATTCCAAGGGTAAATAGTCTGTAAGGTCTTTCCTGAGGGGGAACTGGTCTCAAGGGTATGTGTCTCAGGCTGATCCGCATTCCATCTGGGATGGGCCAGGGCTAAGGAATTGCCTCTTGTTTCACCTCAGTTTATTTTGGAATTAATAAATGGAAAGGTGGGCCTTTGTAAAAATCTTTATGTTGGTTCAGAATTTAGTCTTGGGGGGGTTGGGGTTGTGGGCTCAGCAGTAGAGTGCTCACCTAGCACATGCGAGGCCATGGGTTTGATCCTCAGCACCACATAAAAATAAATAAAATAAAGGTATGGTGTCCAACTACAAGTAAAAAGTAAATATTTAAAAGAGATTGAGATAATGTATATGAAAATGCTACTAAAACCTTAACATATCATGCAATGTAAATTAATGTAATTCAAATAGGATAATATTAACCCAATCTTAACGGAAAAGCAGAAATGGTCTGGTGAAAGACAGGAGCTAATATTAATTGAATCATTACTTTTTGGGGGCTACTTTGGTACCTCATTTAATCCTTACAACAATTTTAGGAAGAGGTATAATTATTACTAATTTTTAGATTAAATACCGAGGCTCAGAGATATAAAGTTATTTGCCCAAGATTATGCAGCTAGTAGTAGAGCTCTTGTTCAAACAAAGGATGATTCTATCTAATAAGTATTTTACTATACTCTGGATTACAATTCTGGATTCAAGGAATTTTGAATCTTCAGGTCTCCATGTGATCTCCCTCTTCTGGTCTCTGAGATGAGGACCCATTCATTCCTTTACCCACAGATACACATTTTGGGATTAAATTGGCTCAAGGAAAGGAAAGTGTATTAAAGAGATATTGGATGGTCCATGAATGAAATAAGACTTGGATCTTGGGGCTTATCAAGGTAAGAAGGTGTGTTTAAGCCTAGAGCTCCTAGAGAGAAACCTGTGGCTGAAACCAGGGGCATATCATCACCTTCATGTCAACCTCTTTCCCTTCTCTTAAGTCTCAATTCCTTTTTTAAGTCAATAAGTATTTTTAAAAAGTCCTTCGGAGGGGATGGGGGTGTAGCTCAGTGATTAGAGCATGTAATAAGCATGCATGAGGCCAGGGTTTGATCCATAGCAAACCCCCCCTCCCCTGCCATAAAAAAGTCCTTTTCGATGCAGGAACTATAGTAGGAGATATTTAGAGTACAAGTCTGAAAAAAACCTATTCTCTATTCTTAAGATCACTTCTAGTGAGAGAGGCGGATATATAAAAATATTATAATTAAAATTGTTTTAAAAAGTCAATAACAGAATACAACAATGAACTAGTACCTTTACATATGGGGGGGGGGAATGCCAGTCTTTAGAGTTGGCTCTCAAATTAGGATGCTAATTTAGATGTGGCCAATTTAAACCCTTTAACTAATCTCATTATTGGTGAAATCTAAAGGTAAATATAATATTTACCTTTAGAAATCAGGAGCTATGGCACACACCTGTAATCGCAGTGATCTGGGAGGCTGAGGCAGGAGGATCTCAAGTTCAAAGCCAGCCTCAGCAATTTAGTGAGGCCCTAAGCAACTTAACCAGATCACGTCTCAAAATGAAGAGCTGGTGATATGGCTCAGTGGTCAAGTGCCCCTGGGTTCAATCCCCAGTACCAAAAAAATTATACATATATATTATATATTCATAAATATAATTATATATAATTAGAAACATAAATATATACATATATATAATTCTAATTACAAGATTTGTCTTGAGGACTACCAATAATGTAATAATGTTCCTAGCATATAGATGATGCTTAATAAAAAGTGACCATTGTTGTTCCTTAATCCTCAAAAGAGAAAGAGGGAGAAGGCATGGTTACCTTTATTTACAATCCAGGAAGCTAAATCTCCTCCATAGATTGACTATTCGGAAGACATTAAACTAGTAAGAGAAGACACCAGCCCAAACTTTATCTTCAAATCTTTTAAATCCTAACATTTCTCCACCACAACCTTTTAAAAAACAATACTTTTGCCCATTTCGTACAGTTCAAATGCATCAGGAAGAAGGCGGAAGATGTGATGTGTATTAAGGGAAATGCAGTTTAAGAGGGTCTTGACCTCCGCAGAGGAGAGTTTAAGGAGCTGGGAGGATAAATAGAAGCAAACGCGCGCACACAGGGAACTTTTGAGAAACAGAGTCTCGCCAGGAGTTGGAGACGGTTTAGAAAAGGCTAGAAGGAGGGTTCCCGCTAAGACTTAGGCGCCAATTTGGTAGGCAGAAGACATCAGAACTCCGCCGTCCCCAGACACGTCTTAAATCCGGACACTCAACTCATGCCAAGTCCTTTCAGAGACCGCCCAACCCATCTCCCGGGGCGGGGCGGGGGAGTGCAGATAGCCTATCCTCGCTGCGAGGCCAAGGAGGTGTCTTCTTCATTGGCCAGTGGCAGGGTGACGTCATGCTCGCCGGGCTGGCGGAGGAAGAGGGTTCCAGGATTGGTTGGCGCTGGGGCGGCGGGTGGTGGAGGGGCCTGGCGAGTCTGGGTTTCAAGCCTGTGCTGGACTTTCTTCTTCCATGTTTCCAGGCCGTAGGGGGCTGCAGAGGGCGGGGAGTAGGTTCAGCAGAAACCTGGATTTGATTCTAAGAGCCGTGGGGTTGAGAAAGGTTGACCGGAAGTGATCTTGGTACTGACCGGAAGCGAGGCCTGGAGGGGAAAGAGAGCGGGTCCCCGGAGGGAGGGAGGGGGTTTCCATCAGAAGGGGGCGGGGGAAAAGGTGCAGAAGCGGCGTAAGAGCGTGGTGCATGTTGCCAGTCGCTGCTACTGGTCTGTGTGGAAGGTAGTGAGCGACCGCCAGCGAGCTCCAGAGGCTAGTCCAAGGAGTGAGAGTGCAGGAGTCCAGGGCTGTCTATAGGAAGTCTGAAATAGTTGAGCAAAGGGAGCCTTACACTCCTGAGAACAGGGCGGGAGGGATTTTGGAAGCCGCGGTGGCCAAGAGCGAGTAGCTAAGGGTACGGGAGATTAGTTGTGCAGCCACTGCTGCTCACGTTTGGGGGTGGCTGGTGGGCAGTGTGTGTGATCTTGGTTTGGAGTTTTCTACTGTCTTAACCCCTGTGGGGTAGAATTACGCTCCGCGCATTTGTAAAAGAAACGGTGTCACCTGGGGCACGGAAGGAGCCAGGATGGCTTGGGCTCTGAAGCTGCCTCTGGCCGATGAAGTGATTGAATCCGGGCTGGTGCAGGACTTTGATGCTAGCCTGTCCGGGATCGGTCAGGAACTGGGTGCTGGTGCCTATAGCATGAGGTGAGTGAGATTTTCCTAGACCCTACCTTTTGAATAACAAAGGCAGGATAGGGAGTAAGAAAGGCGGGGCTGGGCTATAGAGTTTAAAAAGCTGTCTGCCATTGGGGAAAAGAGACTTTTTTTTTTTTTTTTTATTGTTTTGAGTTGTGATTGTTGTGGAAGAAATGGAAGAAGAGATCGTAGGCAGTGTGAAGTCTGCATGGGCAGTAGGAGAAGGAAGAATGACTCCTAATTAGCTATTAAATGAACGTTGAGAGGTCGTTGTGCCAATGTGGGAGACTTGGCGACCAATGGTATATATGTATGTGTGGATAGGTCTGGATTTGTGTGAAATAAGGGTTACGGTGAGCATGTGAGGGATGGCTAAGGAATTAGGGATTTGGGACCTGGGATTTAATGATGAATTTTGATTGACTGCTTGTTGGAAAATAGCTGTAATCTTATCACTAACCTCCTTAGAAGGCTTTCTTTACTTTGAGGGATTCCTGTCTTTCAAAACAAGCTGCGAGATGAAAAAGTTGCAAAAAGAACTTATGGATGGTTCTGGACCTGCATGTATCAAACTAATTGTTAATAATAGATTCAAAGCCTTTGAAAGCAGGATTGCTTCCTATGTAACCTGTTCTCATTCATTAGCTACTACATTCCCCCATATGGTTTCTTTATAAGTGTGAAAGAATCATGTGTGGAAATGCTGAAATAGCTGTATCTTAGAGTTATATGGACTATAATTGGATTTTCTAGAGCATTATTTGATACTTTAGAACTGAACATTTCATTGGTTTTATGAGTTTAGAGGGAAAAGTTGCTTTTTATAGGTAAGATGGACACATGTTTTATTCTGGTAGTGAGATCCTTTGAGAGTTATGTAAAGCTCCTTTCTTTATCTCTGCTAGTTCAAAGTGACTTTCCACAACTGAAGTAAATTATGAGTTAGAACTTAATATTTCACCATCTTCAGGAATCTTTGCTCACAAAATAATGGTCTGTCTTTATATGAATATGTTAGTGATTTTTCAGGGATTTAAGTTTTGTTATACAATGCTATTAGTCTTGAAAAAGTTATCTTTAGTTTTAACTTTAGCCTGTCCTTGTTTAGGTGATTTTGATTACAAAAATAGAAATTAACTTGGTCTGACAGCAAGTGCCCTGAATTTGCACATCAGAATGAGATATAATATTTGACAATTATTGCTGTTTATATAAAGATTACCACAGCAGAAAGGTTAATTATGTTTCGATTACCAAAGTTTAGAATGGATATAATTAAATATAACTGTACTATGTGTACAACTACTACATGCTGTGCATGACATATGACCTTATTTTAAAAAATATTTTTAGTTGATTTTTATTAACTTATTATTTATTTATCTAACTTGTTATATAGGATATCAGAATGTGATTCAGTTCATATTACACATATAGAGCACAATTTTTCATGTCTCTGATTGAACCACAAGTAGAGTCACACCATTCGTGTCTTCGTACATGTACTTAGGGTAATGATGTCCATCTCATTCCACCGTTTTTCCTACCCTGATACCCACTTCCTTTCATTCCCTCCCCTTTGCCTTATCTAACGTTGGTCTATTCCTCCCATGCTTCCCCCCACCATCCTATTTATGAATCAGCATTCTTGTATCAGAGAAAACATTCAGTATTTGGTATTTTGGAATTGGTTTACTTCACTTAGCATTATATTTATTCTCTATCTCCATCCATTTACCTGCAAATGCCATGATTTTATTTTCTTTTAATGCTGAGTAATTGGGCTGGGGTTGTGGCTCAGTGGTAGAGTGCTTGCCTGGCATGTGTGAGGCACTGGGTTCAATCCTTAGCGCCACATAAAAATAAATGAATAAATAAAAGTCAACAACTAAAAAAATATTTTAAAAAATATGCTAAGTAATATTCCATTGTGTATATATACCACAATTTCTTTATTCATTTATCTACTGAAGGACATCTAGGTTGGTTTCATTGTGAATTGTGCTGCTATAAACATTTATGTGGCTGTGTCCCTGTAGTGTGCTGTTTTTAAGTCCTTTSAGTATAAACCAAGGAGTGGGATAGCTGGGTCAAATGGTGGTTTCATTCATGGTTTTCCAAGGAATCTCCATACTGTTTTCCTTATTGACTGCACCAATTTGCAGTTCCACCAGCAGTGGATGAGTGTGTCTTTTTCCCCACATCCTCACCAACACTTATTGTTGTTTGTATTCTTAATAGCTGCCACTCTGACTGGAGTGAGATGAAATCTTAGAGTACTTTTGATTTGCCTTTCTCTAATTGCTAGAGATGTTGAACATTTTTTCATATATTTGTTGAATAATTTGTATATCATCTTCTGAGAAGTATCTGTTCAGTTAAAAAAGCCTACATATATTTTTATTATATTCAGTCCCTCACACATGCTAGGCAAGTGCTCTACCACTAAGCTACAACCCCAGCTCGTGACCTTACATTTAAGAGTGCTTTCCAAATCATCCTCTGTGTGGTCTTCACAGTTAGTAGGATGGTTTGCATGATTACATATTAAGAACTTTTTTCCAACATCAACTGCCTTCCAAACTATTTTCAAACATCACTTTATTTTTCTTAAGAGTACAGCATACCAGAGTTTTAAGTACTTTATTCTTTGCTTTACTCACCTTTTTCTTTTTCATGTATTATGTACTTGTCATTATTCTCTTGACTCTTACATATATTCAGTATTTTGCATTAATTTGTTAGATATTGATTCTCAAATTTTAGTATTCATAAGTTATCTGTTGTTCTTATTATAATAAAGTCTTCCTGAACCTTATTAAAGAAAATGTTCTCTTTGACAAGAWTTTTTTTTTTTAGTTACATGACAGTAGAATGCACTTTAACACATATACATAAATGGAGTATAATTCTCATTCTTCTAGTTGTACATGATGTAGAATCAATGTCAAATTCTTTTTTTTTTTTTTTTTTTTTTTTGGTGGTGGGTACTGGGGATTGAACTACAGGGCACTCAACTATTGAGCCACATCCCCAGCACTTTTTTGTATTTTATTTAGAGATAGGGTCTCACTGAGTTACTTAGTGCCTCGCTTTTGCTGAGGCTGGCTTTGAACTTGTGATCCTCCTGCCTCAGCCTCCCAAGCTGCTGGGATTACAGGTGTATGCCATGGCACCCCGTGGTCTGGTTTCAGATTCATTTTGTTATCTTTCCTACCCCCATGCCCCCTCCCCTCCATTCATTCCCTCTGCCTAATCCAAAGTACTCTGTTCTTCCCTAGCCCCACTCCCCTTTATTGTGAATTAGCATCCACATATCAGAGAAAACAATTAGCCTTTGGTTTTGGGGATTGGCTTATTTCACTTAGCATGATGTTCTCCAGTTCTATTCATTTACTGGTACATGCCATTATTTCATTCTTCTTTAAGGCTGAGTTCTATTCCATTGTGTATATATACTACATTTTCTTTATCTATTCATCTGTTGAAGGACACCTAGGTTGATTCCATAGTTTAGCTATTGTGAGTTGAGCTGTTATAACATTGATGTGGCTGTGTCACTGTAGTATGCTGATTTTAAGTCCTTTGGGTATATACTGAGGAGTGGGATAGCTGGGTCAAATGGTGGTTCCATTCCAAGTTTTCTGAGAAATTTCCATATCGCTTTCCATAATGGTTGTATCAATTTGCAGTCCCACCAGCAATGTATGAATGTACCGTTTCCCCCCATCCTTGCCAACATTTATTGTTGCTTGTATTTGTGATAATTGCCTTGCTAACTGGAGTGAGATGAAATCTTAGAGTAGTTTTGGTTTGCATTTCTCTAATTGCAGAGATGTTGAACATTTTTTTCATGTACTTGTTGATTGATTGTATTTTTCTGTGAAATAAATGTTCAGTTCCTTAGCCCATTTATTGATTGGGTTATTTGGGGTTTTTTGTTTGTTTTGTTTTGTTTKGTTTGGTGTGGTATTGTTTTTTTGAGTTCTATATGTATCCTGGAGATTAATGCTCTGTCGGAAGTATGTATGGTAAAGATTTTCTCCCATTCTGTTGGCTCTCTCTTAACATTATTGTTTCCTTTGCTGAGAGAAAGCTTTTTAGTTTGAATCCATCCCATTTATTGATTCTTGATTTTACTTCTTGTGCTTTAGGAGTTTTGTTAATAAGTCAGATCTTAAGCTGACATTATGAAGATTTAGGCCTACTCTTTCTTCTATTAGGCGCAGGGTCTCTGTTCTAGTGTCCAAGTTTTTGATCCACTTTGAATTGAGTTTTGTTCATGGTGAGAGATAGGGGTTTAATTTCATTTTGTTATATATGGATTTCCAATTTTTCCAGCACCATTTGTTGAATAGATCATCTTTTCTCCAGTGAATGTTTTTGGCGTCTTTGTCTAATATAAGATAACTGTATTTATGTGGGTTTGTCTCTGTGTCTTCTATTCTGTACCATTGGTTTTCACATCTATTTTGGTGCCAATACCATGCCATTTTTGTTACTGTGGCTCTGTAGTATAGTTTAAGGTCTAATATTGTGATGATTCCTGCTTCACTCTTCTTGTTAAGGATTGCTTTGGCTATTCTGGGTCTCTTCTTTTTCTTTTTTCTTTTTTCAATAACTACATTTAGTAATTAACATGAAATTGGCATTTTATTTTTTTATTTTTTATATTTTTAGTTTTAGATGTACACAATACCTTTTATTTATTTATTTTAAAATATTTTTATTTTTTTAGTTGTAGTTGGACACAATACCTTTATTTTATTTATTTATTTTTATGTGGTGCTGAGGATTGAACTCAGGGTCTTGCACATGCTAGACGAGTGCTCTACTGCTGAGCCACAACCTCAGCCCAATATCTTTTATTTTTATATATTCATTTTTATGTGGTGCTGAGGATCAAACCCAGTGTACTAGGCAAACGTTCTGCCACTGAACCTCAGCCCCAGCCCCTGGGTCTCTTATTTTTCTAAATGAATTTTGTGATTGMTTTTTCTAGTTCTATG